TTTCCCAGCCTGTGTCTCAATGCCTTGCAAAGGCTGCTTCTTCGACAGCCACCGCCTCCACCACTGTCTCCTTCTCTCTGTGTTTGCTTCTGTAGGCAGCGGTTGGATTCAGCCAACCTTTGGATGGATTCAGCCAGCCTTCAGTAGGATTCAGCCAACCTTCCGGCTCCTGCCCCGGTCTGTTGCTAGGGAGCCGCAAGGCAAGGCTGAGCAATGCAAGGGAACAGCCCGGCCTGTCACCGTGTCTGCGATGATGAGCCATGGGCCAGACCCTCTACAGCTGGGACCAGGCATGCCTCCGCTCTTGTCTGGGGCCTGGGAATGGCCCAGGCTTGTGAGGTTCAAGGGCAAACTTGCTATTCATTAGGCTGGGGTCCTTGACATTCTCTCTCTGCCTCGCTCCTCCTGGGATTTTGTGTGCGCCGCGCATGTTTCCCCCTCTCCTGCCTTTCTTTGGACACATTCCTGGGTGCCTCTGCCCCAACTCACCCCCTTCTTTGCAGTTCCCCTCGGAGAAAAGGCACGGAGGGGGAACAATGCCCAGAGTAAGGCTATTCAGGGAAAGAGGCCCAGGCAGGCAGCTTGCCCCTCTGGCTCGTTCCTCGGAGCCGGTTCCTTGATGTGGTTTGTTGTGCCCCCCTTTTTTTGTGGTCACCGTCTGAAACCTGGCTCTCCACTTTCTGGCAACATCTGCAAGAGAGAGATTATCGGCTTGGTTTATTTTGATTTTGGATTTCAGATCATTGATGTCTTTATTATCTTTCTATTCGCAGGGAATTGTAATTTGAGATAAGGAAATGTCAGCTTCCTTCCCTCCCCGTTTGGTCTGCAAAGGCAACCCAAAAGGCACCGAGAAAGTTCCAACTTAGAGAAAAATGCAGAATTTGCTTTGGCGTAGCACAAGCGAAAGAGCTGCTAACCATCCTGTGTGCATGCAAAACCAAACCAAACTCCAAGGAAGGGTGATAAAAACAAAATCCTGCATTGGCATCACACTCTCCGGCTCCCTTCTTTGGAGTCTTTCCTACCTTGTAAGGCTCCCTGTAATTATCCAAGGCAAACAGCATGTGCTATTGGCTCAAAATGATATTTTTTCCCCCTACCCCAGGCCCTTAGAGCAGAATGGAGGTGTAATTGTGCTAAGGAGTTAGCAGGAGAGAGAGGGGGGAGAATACAGCTTCTGGTCACATTTTGAGTTGGAGGGCTTGAACCAGGGAAAGGGCCATGAAAAGCTCCTATTTGCATAAATAGCATGTGTCTACAGAAGGGGAAAAAAGGAGAAACAAAGAAAGAAAGATATCAGGAGCCTGCAAAATTCAATTGAGATTGTGGGAAGGGGGAGCAGGAGTGGGGCAGGAGTATAAAGCAAAGAGAAAGTGGGGAAAATGGACAGTGAAAGGGTCGGGTCCTGTCCTCCCCCCCCCTAAGTAACACCCTGGTGCGATTAAATTGTCCAGAAAGTTTCGATGAAATGGTTGATGGGGTGAGGCGAAGGAGGAGGGATGTGGTCCCTCCTTCCAAAGGACATGAATAGAAAATTGGCAAAGGGAAAAGAATCCGATTAAGCAAGGGGGAAACCTGACATTTTATTTATTACTAGCCTGGGTACCCGTGTTGCCCAGGTTATTTGAAAAAGGCATTGTGATGGGGTGAAAGGTAATATAATTTTAGTTAGTTAGTAACACTGTATTGTCGAAGACTTTCATGGCTGGAATCACTGGGTTGTTGTGGGTTTTTTTCGGGCTATATGGCCATGTTCTAGAGGCATTCTCTCCTGACGTTTCGCCTGCATCTATGGCAAGCATCCTCAGAGGTAGTGACCTCTGAGGATGCTTGCCATAGATGCAGGCGAAACGTCAGGAGAAATGCCTCTAGAACATGGCCATATAGCCCGAAAAAACCCACAAGAACTGAGTTAGTAACACTATTTATTAGGAAAAGGACATACTTTGATTACGTTTTTTATTAATGTTCCCATTAAAAAGGTAAAGGTTTTCCCCTGACATTAAGTCCAGTCATGTCCGACTCTGGGGTGTGGTGCTCTTCTCCAATTCTAAGCCGAAGAGCCGGCGTTGTCCATAGACACCTCCAAGGTCATGTGGCTAGCATGACATGGAGTGTCTTTACCTTCCTGCTGGAGTGGTATTATTATTATTATTATTATTATTATTATTATTATTATCTTTATTTGTATCCTGCTAGCATCTCCCGAAGGACTCGATGCGGCTTACAAAGGCCAATGCCTCAATAAAACAATAGCATAACAAATACACAACTTAAAAGCAAATCAAAAACAATTAAAGCAATATCAAAACAACAAAAACAATACACCAAGACACGATAAAACTAGGGCCGGGCCAAATGTAATGGGTACAGATTAAAAAGTGCTGGGTGTGACAGGTGGTATGTCGGATTTTAGGGTAAGTGCAGTGTGCACCTATTGATCTACTCACATTTGCATGTTTTCAAACTGCTAGGTTGGCAGAAGCTGGGGCTGACAGTGGAAGCTCACACCGCTCCCCTGATTCGAACCGGCAACCTTTTGGTCAACAAGCTTAGCAGCTCCGGGAGCTCCAATGCTCCCATTAGAAAATATAGAACAATGTGGGTGAACTACGATTCCCACAATCGTGGGTCAATGCAGGGTGAACTACAACTTCCATCCTGTTGAGTCAGTTCCCCAAACCCCTCCAATCTGTTTAGTTGCTAATCAATTCCTCTGTGTTTACTATGTGCCATAGGAAAGGGTAGGAAAGGGTTAAGGAAAGGTAATGGGCGGGGTCATGCAAATTCCACACAAGGAACCCTGGGATGCCTGTCTCTGTTGGAGGAAACACGCCAAATCTATGATGAAATTCTCCCCGAATGGGCGGTATATCGTCCAATTTGTTCAGTTGCTAATCAATTCCTATGTGTTTACTGCATGCCTTAGGAAAGGGTTAATTAAGGAAAGGCAGTGGGCGAGGTCATGCAAATTCCACACAAGGAACCTTGGGGTGCCTGTCTCAAATGGAGAAAACACGTCAAATCTATGATGAAATTCTTAAATGGGTGGTGTATTGTACAATTTGTTCAGTTGCTAATCAATTCCTCTGTGTTTACTGCTTGCCATAGGACAGAGTAGGAAAGGATTAAGGAAACGTAGTGGGCGAGGTCATACAAATTCCACACAAGGAACCCTGGGATGCCTGTCTCTGCTGGAGGAAGCGCGTCAAATCTATGATGAAATTTTCCCCGAATGGGTGGTGTATCGTCCAATCTGTTCAGTTGCTAGTCAGTTCCTATGTGTTTACTGCGTGCCATAGGAAAGGGTTAATTAAGGAAAGGCAGTGGGCGGGGTCATGCAAATTCCACACAAGGAACCCTGGGATGCCTGTCTCTGTTGGAGGAAGCGCATCAAATTCTCCCAAATGGGTGGTGGATTGTAATATTTGGGGAGAACATTGCCAGCATTTGGGCTATATGTTCATGGCGTTCACTATTACCTGTCAATTGAGGAAGTGCCTTTGGAGGCTTCTCAGTATTTGGAAGCATATCCTGTTTATGGAGGTGGGAAGCTGTCTGTCTACACACACACATTTTTCACTTTTCTTATGTGTATAGATAGATGACAGGGCGGTGATGAGGTGGGTTTACATGTAGGTAAAAAGGTCTTGATTAAATGTATAACTTTTTCCATTTGGTACATTTTTTTCTCTCTCTCTTGTGAACTATAGATTTGTTTTCCTCATCTCTTATTCAGGACCCCAGATTATAGGCAATGGGGAGCTAATTGCAAAGATTGACACTAAAATAAAATGCTGGAGTATCTGTCCAAATTCCTAATTCTGCTCCTACGCTCAAATGGATTATTATGTTGTCGAAGGCTTTGATGTCTGGAAATACTGGGTTGCTGTGAGTTTTCCAGGGTGTATGGCCATGTTCCAGAAGCATTCCCTCCTGACATTTCACCCACATCTATGGCAGGCATCCTCAGAGGTTGTGAGGTCTGTTGGAAACTAACCAAGAGAGGTTTATGTATCTGTGGAAGGTCCAGGGTGGGAGAAAGAACTCTTGTCTGTTGTAGGCAAGTGCGAATGCGGCAATTAATCACCTTGATTAGCATTGCAAAGCCTTGCAGCTTCAAGGCCTGGCTGATTCCTGCCTGGAGGAATCCCTTGTTGGGAAGTGTCAGCTGGCTCTAATGCTTCCATAGATCATAGAATCATAGAATCAAAGAGTTGGAAGAGACCTCCTGGGCCATCCAGTCCAACCCCATTCTGCCAAGAAGCAGGAATGTTGCATTCAAATCACCCCTGACAGATGGCCATCCAGCCTCTGCTTAAAAGCTTCCAAAGAAGGAGCCTCCACCACACTCCGGGGCAGAGAGTTCCACTGCTGAACAGCTCTCACAGTCAGGAAGTTCTTCCTCATGTTCAGGTGGAATCTCCTCTCTTGTAGTTTGAAGCCATTGTTTTACGTCCTAGTCTCCAAGGAAGCAGAAAACAAGCTTGCTCCCTCCTCCCTGTGGCTTCCTCTCACATATTTATACATGGCTATCATATCTCCTCTCAGCCTTCTCTTCTTCAGGCTAAACATGCCCAGCTCCTTAAGCCGCTCCTCATAGGGCTTGTTCTCCAGACCCTTGATCATTTTAGTCACCCTCCTCTGGACACATTCCAGATGTGGATGAAATGTTAGGAGAGAATGCTTCTGGAATATGGCCATACAGCCCAGAAAACTCACAGCAACCCAAATGAATTATTTTTCAGGGGAGGTAGATGTCATCATTGTCAAGTATTCCTTATATGAAATTCCTTGTGTTTACGTTTGGAAATATATTGATTGGATAAGATGCCCAAAAATATTCCTTCTGTTCCCTTCCCTTGTGAGTGAGAACATGGTCTTCTTGACCAAATTATTATCATATCATATTTATTATTTAGATCCCTTCTTACGTTGATGATTTCAGGTAATATTTTAGTCACTTGAATAACTCCTCCTCCTTCTTGTTGTTATAGGTTCCTATGATGTGGAATTCAATACATTTGGGAGACGCTATTTTTTCGATCTGATTTCCTTTGATGAAGACTCATCTACATATCTTGCTTCCTGGAGAAACTGTTTTTTGCACTGACTGTCTTCTGAATGCTTGGACTCAACATTTTCCAAATTGCCTCCATTTGACAGAAAAGCAAGACAAAGAGACTTCTTACTGGGTGCAACAAAGAAGTATAGTACATTCTGTTGGAAATAGCAACCTTCTTAAGCATCTAATAGTTATTTGTTATGGATTGTATACTGCTTACTGTGTTTTATATGTGTGTATTGGTTTGCAGTTTTCTTTCACCTCTTTGTTGTGGGAGGGGCTGCAGACCATGTGATCAGAACTGGGCTTGTTCAGGACTCAGACTCCATTTTAGACCTCAGAAGCCATTCGACTTTCAGTGTAGAGACTTCATTAAGTGAGTACAGTTTAGACTTCAGTGTATGTTCAGTTTAGACTTCAGTAGGAACAGAAGTAAGCCTTTAAGACTTCAGTGAGATGTATGCTTAGAGACTCCATTGGACTTTCTGACTAGACAGAGACTCCCAAAACAGAGAGATGCTTTGGACTATGGAGTATTGCTTCTAAGAAAGATTCCCTGTGTTACCTACACAGAGAAACTACTTCAATTCTACTTGTAACTGGATTGATAAGCAAAGTACCTGTATGCTGAATACTTGAAGTTTGTGAGTAAACCAACTATGTTACTTTTAAAGAAGACTGTTCATTTTGTCTCTTGAGACAAATATATTTTAAGGGGGAGTAGATTTTATTGGGCAATGAAAAAAAACACTTCTGGAACTCTGCTGAATATAGACATTTTGGTACATTGGTATATTTTTGTCCCTAACAGGTCAAAGACATACCAAGGTACATCAGTTTAACAACTGAGAAACCTAGTCGCCTTGCATGAATGCTGGTGAATGCCATTTCCCGCAAAGGGTTGTGACTTCTAACAGGTCATGCTTTTTATCAAGAGGTTTTGGCATAATTTTGCAAAAGGTTGAGACTTCCTTCTAACAAGGTCATCCCTTTCCAAAGATCATAACATCTCCAAAAGGTTCTGGAGATTTCCATTTTCCAAAAGGTCATGTGACCAGTGGTTTTCCAAAACATTCTCCATCTTTCTAGTACTTGCCCTTCTTGGCATGCTTCTGTGTATTTCTTCATATATTATTGCTTATTCTAACCAGTTGACATTCACTGGAAGCCCCATCCTCTTGGAAAAGGTGTCAACCTAATGACCACATCAAAGAGGACCACCAATTCCCAATGTATACTGTTAGGATCATGGCTAAGGTTTTTCCAGATGGCTTACAGAGGATACAACATTGTTTTGTTTTTGTTTTACTATTTCTGTGCCTGATTTGTTCATTGTAAATATTTTGCTGCTTTCGAATTTCTTTTGCTGAAGGAAAGTGGAATGTGAATAAATAATATAAAAAATAAAATGATATTTAATTGTATCTTGGATTCCTGCTATTTTTTAAAGAAAAGATTACGTTGTTTGAAAGTTTGATTTTAAAAAAAATACCAAGGTAACTAAACACAGTTCACAAAGATCACCTAGCTAAACTTGTGTAGCATAAAAGGCTAAACACATCAATCCTACACTCTTGTCCTAAGTCAGTATTTCTCAACCTGGGAGTCAGAACCACTGGGGGGTGGGTCACAGGGGGGGGTGTCAGAGGGGTCACCAAAGACCATCAGAAAACACATGATTTTCTGTTGGTCATTGGGATTCTGTGTGGGAGGTTTGCCCCAATTCTATCATTGGTGGGGTTCAGAATGCTCTTTGATTGTAAGTGAACTATAAATCCCAGCAACTACAACACCCAAATGTCAAGTTGTACTTCCCCCAAAATCCACCAGTGTTCACATTTCGGTATATTGAGTATCCGTGCCAAGTTTGGTCCAAATCCATCATTGTTTGAGTCCACATTGCTCTCTGGATGTAGGTGAACTACAACTCCAAAACTCAAGGTCAATGCCCAACGAACTCTTCTAGTATTTTCTGTTGGCCATGGGAATTCTGTGTGCCAAGTTTGGTTCAATTCCATCATTGGTGGAGTTCAGAATGCTCTTTGATTGAAGGTGAACTATAAATCCCAGCAACTCCCAAATTACAAAATCAGTGTGCCCTCCCCCAACCCCACCAGGATTCAAATTTGGGTGTATTGGGTATTTCTGCAAATTCAGTGAATGAAAATACATCCTGCATATCAAATATTTACATTGTGATTCACAACAGTAGCAAAATTACAGTTATGAAGTAGCAACCAAAATAATGTTATGGTTGGGGGTCACCTGAAGCCCCCGGTGGTGCAGTGCATTAAACCGCTGAGCTTGCTGAACTTGCTGATCAAAAGGTCGCAGGTTCAAATCTGGGCAGTGGAGTGAGCTCCCACTGTTAGCCCTAGCTTCTGCCAACCTAGCAGTTTGAAAACATGCCGATGTGAGTAGATCAATAAGTAGGTACAGCTCCAGCAAGAAGGTAATGGTTCTCCATGCAGTCATGCTGGCCACATGACCTTGGAAGTGTCTACGGACAACACCGACTCTTTGGCTTAGAAATGGAGATGAGCACCAACCCCCCTCCCTCCCCCAGCCAGACACGACTGGACATAATGTCAGAGGAAAACATTTACTTTTACCTTTGGAGGTCCACACAACATGAGGAACTGTATTAAGGGGTTGCGGCATTAGGAAGGTTGAGAAACACTGTCCTAAACAATAATGCTCATTTTGGGACTTTCGCCAGCTTTTAAGCTTTACACAGCAACTAGCTGAACAAGATGTGATAAGCCTCAACTTCGATGGTTTTTAGAAGAGGACAACAGATTGAAAGTGGCATGATTCCCCATCACTGTCTCTTATAATGAGAGATTGAGAGATTTGGGTTGAGTCTGGGACCATCCCACTTATGGCCAACCAGATAGGCCCGGCTAACACTCCACTGAAAGTTCTTAGTGTTTCAGGGCATTTATATGGGAACAAACATACTCCTTTGTGACTGCTTTTTATTTTAAAAAGTCAAGAATTCAATGACTGCACGTTGCTTAAGTCACATTGACTGACCATCTGCGCATGGTTCCATACTTCGCACTTTAACAACACAACCATTCAATGCTAAGGCTTCCCCCCAAAATGGAACTGCAGAGGAGAGTCTACTGAACAAGCCAGTACCTGCCGCATATCAGTACTGCCATCAGTTGAGGAGTTACGAAGATGGAGGCATTACTTTTCATTCAACCTTCGTATAGCCTGCAGCAGTATATTGCTGCTGGGAAAATGCAGCAAACACATTTACTATAGGCATTACAACTTACCTCCAAGTGAACAGGAAAGGCTGAAGAAGTAATGGATAATGGCACTGTCCCTGCTAAATGTGCAAGCTTTGTGCCTACTACAATGCTGTCTAGTAGTCACAATGGCTTTCTGTTATCTCTAATATTGGAGGCAACATATCTTGAGTGCTGGACTACAACTCTGGAGGTGAGGATTCAAATGCACGTCTTATATCTCAACGTGCAGAATCCTGCATGGGACTTGGCTCTTTGTAAGTGAACCTGCATAAGCAGGGCTTAGAATCGGGCACTTCCCTAATGTCCACATCCAACTGAGGGCTTCTGTTACATTGCTATGCAGGGGAACCAGCAAAATATTGTGCATCAGTTCCAGTGTGCATTGGTTCTAATCTGCACTAGGACATTGGCTAGCAAGAGTGGGTCAAAACGTTTTGCCTCCTGCGCCATAAAATAGTTATGAACTAAACTGTAATAGCAGAAGTTGCTCCAGATCCTAGCCTGAACTGTCCTCCTCACAAAACTACCATTCAACGTAGTCATCACCAATGTGTACACATTTGCGCCATCGTTTAACCCAGGCATCAAACCCATTTTGAAAAAGTTCAGGGTTTTGCTTCCTGACCCATGATTTTAAAGCTATTTGAACGTCATTCAAGTCATTGAATCCGAAATCACATAGGTTGTCTTTCAGAGGTCCAAACAGGTAAAAGTCAGAAGGGGCCAAATCATAGACATTCTTCAAGCGATGAGGAATTTCCTTAGGTGCACAACCTTCTTTGGCCAGAAATTCAATGATGACTCTTTCTTTTAGCTTCAGATTCATGGCGGGGGGATTGTCATGTCAGGAGTGTCTTGAGAAACTGCAAGTCGCTCCTGGTGTGAGAGAAATGGCCATCTGCAAGGACGTTGCCCAGGGGATGCCTGGATGATTTGATGTTTTTATCATCCTTGTGGGAGGCTTCTCTCCTGTCTCCGCATGAGGAGCTGGAGCTGATAGAGGGAGCTCATCCACCTCTTCCCAGATTCGAACCTGGGACCTGTCGGTCTGCAGTCCTGCTGGCACAGGGGCTTAACCCACTGCGGCACCAGGAGCTCCACCGGGGGTTCTAATTGGTCAATTGGGAAAAAGAAAAGACTATCGGTAGAGTAAGGGTACCTCTATCATATCATGCATAGATAGTCCAGTAGCTGTGAAAGAAATAAAAGTTACAGCGATGGAGGCATTACTTTTTGACTCACCACATTGACAGAACCTGCTGCCCATTCTGAGACTTCTGTTGGTGTCCTTCACCCATCTTCAACATTCACTAACAGGGTTCCTTAATACCTCTGATACATAGCTAAGTATCCACAACATCACAGAGGATTTCAGCCTTGATATTATATAGCCAATGGTTGTATTTATAAGCCAGATAGGGTACAAACAGGGGGCTTGAACCTAGAGATCCCATGTCTCAGACCAAGGTCCTTAATGACAACACTACTCTGTCCCTGCTATGTTTGTTTGTCACTGACCAGGCAAAACAACACCACATTCAACAGCCCCATGGCCAAATGGCCAGTTAGAAAGTCCTACCAGCTAGCAAAAGTACTACAAAGAGGAAAGTGGTCTACTTTCATGTAGAAGGGAATTCCACAGCTTGAGAACTTCCACCAAGAAGACTCTCTCGTGTGGCTTCATCAAATGCCTTGATGACAATGTTGAAATCGAGGAAATAATGGCACCAGCTAGTGCATGAGGGAGTCTGGAATCTGCGATGATCCACAAGACCTGCTCATGCCTTCTACTTTGAGGTAGAAGAGGATCATGTTTTGGAGACATCCTCCTCTGTGGTACTTTCTGAGTTCCTGGAAAGCCAGCGCATAATTGCGGTAGATGCAGTCCTCCTGGTAGGAGTAAGAGTGAATTTTCTTCTAAATCAAGAAATGGTGAAATAATGGATATTTACTGCCCAAAAATAAATGTTGGTGGGCTACAGTAGCAAAGAGGGTTAAATCACTAAACTGCAGAGCTTGCTGTCTGGAAGGTTGGTGGTTTGAATCCGCGGGACAGGGTGAGCTCCTGCTGTTAGCCCCAGCTCCTGCCAACCTAGGAGTTTGAAATCATGCAAATTTAAGTAGATCAATAGGTACCACTCTGACAGGGAGGTAATGGTTCTCCATGCAGTCATGCTAGCCACATGACCTAGGAGGCATCTATGGACAACTTCTTCAGCTTAGAAATGGAGATGAGCATCACGCCCGCTGAGTCAGACACGACTAGACTTAATGTCAAGGGAAACCTTTACCATAGTGTTGCTCAATCTGGGGATTGGGACCCCTGGGGGCAGAGTTGTGAGGGGGTGTCAAAGGGGTCACCAAAGAGCATCAGGAAATAGAGCATCAGTGCTCTCTGGGTGTAAGTGAACTACAACTCCAAAACTCAAGGTCAATGCCAATGAACTCTTCTAGTATTTTCTGTTGGTCATGGGGGTTCTGTGTGGGAAGCTTGGCTCAATTCTATCATTGATGGGGTTCAGAAAGCTCTTTGGTTGTAGGTGAACTATAATTCCCAGCAACTACAACTCCTAAATGTCAAGGTCTATTTTCCCCGGACCCCACCAGTGTTCACATTTGGGCATATTGAGTTTGGCCCAGATCCATATTGTTTGAATCCACATTGCTCACTGGATGTGTGTGAACTACAACTCCAAAACTCAAGATCAATACCTAGCAAACCCTTCCATTATTTTCTGCAGGTCATGTGAATTCTATGTGCCAAGTTTGGTTCAATTCCATCATTGGTGGAGTTCAGAAAGCTCTTTGATTGTAGGCGAACCATAAATCCCAGCAACTACAATTCCCAAATGACAACATCAATCCCCTCCAAAACCCACAAGTATTCAAATTTGGTCTATCAGATATTTGTGCCAAATTTGGTCCAGTGAATGAAAATACATCCTGCATATCAGATATTTACATGACGATTCATAACAGTAGCAAAATGACAGTTACGAAGTAGCAACGGAAATAATTTTATGGTTGGGGGTCACCACAACATGAGGAACTGTATTAAGGGGTCGCGGCATCAGGAAGGTTGCGAGCCCCCGGTGGCGCAGTGGGTTAAAGCCTTGCACCGGCAGGACTGAAGACCGACAGGTCGCAGGTTCGAATCCGGG